GAACCAAAACAGGGGTCCCAAGGTGGTGAGGAACTTCAACGTGAAGAGGGCTTTGGAGATGGTAGATGAAGTAGAAGGTCAAGAAGCATCCCTGAATTACAGCAACAATCACGGGCCTGAGTGAAACCACCAAATAACACGTAGGAAACTGAGTCCAAGAAAAGTAAACATCTCTATAGTCCATGGGTGGCAATACTAAGACAGTTCTCTATTCTGATTTCCATGCCCTTACTTTTACACTTCAGGAGCCTTTTGCCCGTGCTAATATTTTTCTAAGAGTACCAGAGGGAAGACATCAAAAATTACAGCAGGCTACACTAAGGACCCTGCTGCAAGCAGTGCCGGTGGCCACACAGGAACACAGCTCTCAAGCTGCCACTTCTAATGCCAAAGCAAAATACAGCCCAGTGAGTGCGGAGACTCATGGCTTTCTATCTGGAGGTGGAACTTATCAGGTGAAGAGCATTTATAGCCTTTATAATGTGAGCAGCACATTCTGCACATCCCCTGGACCTAAGTTATACTGGGTGCATTAAATTACTCAGAAGTTTTATAAACCATTCCTGCCTTCCCACTATTCTCCTCTAACTGACTTTTTGATGTTTCTGGAATGTATTTTATGTCTTATGTGTGAGGGGCACAGAAAGTTTAAGACTCATTGATGAGGCTGCACAGTAACTAATCACAGGTCTGTGATCATCTTACACAGATGAGCAAGCTTCAAGAACTCTCCTTCTAATCAAAGACCTAGTATTAAACTGTAAACTATGCAACTCCTAGAAGAAAATGTAGGGTCAATACTCCAACACATAGGCATAGGCAGCGACTTTCTCAATAGGACCTATCAAACTTGGGAAATAATGCCAAGAGTTAGTAAACGGGATGGTATCAAATTAAAAAGTTTCTGCACAGGAAACAATCAGGAATGTGAAGGGAGAACCTATAGAATAAGAGAATCTTTGCTAGCTAAACTTCTGACATAAGATCAACAGATAGATATATAAAGAACTCAAAAAACTATACACCAAAAAACAAATAACCCAATTAATGCATGGGCAAATGAATTAAACAGACACTTCCTAAAGAAATACAAATGGCCAACAAATATAGGAAAAAATGTCCAACATCATCAGCAATTAGGGAAATGCAAACCAAAACTACACTAAGATTTGATCTCATATCAGTCAGAATGGTTGTCATCAAGAATACAAATAATAGTAAATGCTGAAGAGGAAGTGAAGAAGAAGGAACACTTTTACACTGTTGGTAGGACTGTAAATTAGTATGATCAGTATGGAAATCAGTATGGAGGTTCCTCAGAAGACTAGGCATAGACCCAGTTAAATCACTCCTTGGCATTTAACCTAAAGAAGTAAAGTCAAACTATAAGGATACATGTGTACCCATGTTCCTAGCAGCATAATTCACAATAGCCAAACTACCAAACCAACCCTTGTTCATCAATGGATGAATGGGAAAAGAAAATCTGGCACTTATACACAATGGAGTTTTATTCAGTCATAAAGAAAAATGAAATTATGTCATTTGCAGGAAAGTGGCTGAAGCTTGAGATCACTATGTTAAGCAAAATAAGTCAAACTCAGAAGGTCAAGGATCATATGTGTCCTCTTATATGTGGAAGCTAGAGAGGGAAAAGGAAAAGAGAGGTGGGGGAGGGGATCTCATGAAAATCAGAAGGAGATCAGTAGAGGAAAGGAACCAAGGGGTGAGAGGCAGGCGGGGGAGTGCTGGGGAGTAATACTGACCATATTATGTTGTTATAGTGTGTGCACGTATAAATATGCAACAAAAAATCCCATCATTATTTATAACTATGATGAATCAATAAAAAATGTGGGGATAAAAACAATAATCCTTTTAGACCAATAGAAATATACTGCAAATCCCATATGTAATTTGAATTTTCTATTAGCCACATTTAAAAAAGGAAAAGGAAATAGAGAAATTACAGTATTTATTGCTAGGCCAAAAAAAGAAAGAAAAGAAACAGATGAACATCATGTTAATAATATGTTTAACCTAATATAGCCAAATCATTGTCATTTCAATAATATATATTAAGTACCTAAGCATACTACAAGTAATATACATCAAGCAAAATATATGTATATTAAGTCTTCAAAATCTGATGTATATTTATGGTTATACCCCATCTCAATCCATAATTGCCCACATTGCAAGTGCTTAATTGCCATATGTGGCTATTGGCTACGATCCTGGACAGCACAAATCTAGACTGTTCTTACCATCCACAGAGCTCCAACCACACTCTTGTCTGTCCCGGCGATATAACTTTACTCCAACAGAAATAGAAATTTCTTGGGATGTAGCTATAGCTTAGAGTAGAGTGTTTTTTAGCACTGGCATTTAGCATTTAGCATTCCCTCTCCAGTGGAAAAAAGGAAGGAAGGAAGCGAAGAAGGGAAGGAGGGAGGGAGGGAGGGGAAAGAAAGAAAGAAAATTTCTTGCCTGTCTCAGGGCCTTTCTTTTCCAGATTTAAAGTGTCCACTTTGGTCTTTCCTGATCCCAACTCTCCTCCAATTGTCCAATCAGTTATCAAGGATTCGGTACTGAGTGCTTACCAAGTACTGGGGATTTTGTTAACTGATGAGGATAAAAAGGTAAGAAAGTTACAGACCCTGACTTCTAGGAGCTCTCAGCTTAGTGAGAAGTGCGCAAAATGTGCGGTTGCTGTAAAGAGACACATACAATGGGATCCAGAGAGGAAGGAACAACTGTTTCTTATGGGGCTTCTGGGAAGAACTCAGAAAGGGACTTTGGACTGGGTTTTCAGAAACTGCGGAGAGGCAAGAAAGGGTGTTGCAAGCTGGAAAAAGCATATTCAAGACAGAAGTATGACAGTGTGCGTGCTTGGGAATGGCAGGCAGTGTCTAGCGCTGCAAGAACAAGACAAGGAGAGCCCAGAGTGCCGCTGGAAGGCGAGCTGGGCCCCGAGTGCCCTATGACACATTTAGAATTGCTATGGGGCAACTCTGAGCAGAAATCTCTGGACAGCACAATCTTGTGGCAACTTGTTGCACAGATGGGAGAGCACAAAGAAATAAGGAGAGCTGAACTAAGAACAGCAGTGTTTCTAAACAGGGGGGATGTGAGCACCCACCTGAACACAGGGAATGTGAGGGTGCTGCTTTCTGAAAATAATCTCAAGATGAGCCTCACAATGAATCTGGGCAAAGGGCCTAATTATTAAAGCTTTCCTGGAACAAAGTGTCTATACGAGGGACATTAGGGCCACTAGCATGGTATTTATACAGGACCATTACAATCTGTTGCCATCTGAAAGCACTAAATGTCCCTTTCCCTGAAAGATTAATAAGGCTCCTTAAAGATTAATTTAGGCATCAGACAGATTCCAGATGAATTACTTCCAGGACGGCTGGGAAAATCACACCTGTGATATTCAGCAGGGGTGGGCAGCACCTGGCCAACGTGATCAATCAAACAGTGTGGTGGCTCACATCACCCTGGGACCCCACGGTGGCTTATTTGATGGTGTATTTTCTGGAAGAAGACTCTGGAACTCTCAGGCAAGAACAAGACATCTGCAGTGAGAAGGTGCTTCAGAGATCTCTGGCTTTTCCAATTGTCGAAAGGGAAAGCTGTGACATGGAGAGTGAAGTGGCTTAAAGGTCACACAGCCGTAATGGCAGAGCCAAGCATCAAATTCACCTTTCTTGATTCATCTCCTGGTTCTCCTCTGGCAACATCCTGCCCTCTGTGGTGTCAAAGCCACCATGGGATTAGTGGACCATGTGTCATGAGGAACTGTTTACCTTCACAGCAACTCAGCTGGACAAAGAGAAAACTAGGCTAGAGACGGTAGGTAATAAAACCACCTTTTGAGCCGAGGAGATTGAATACAGTAGCCATGAACTGGGTACTCACATGGAGAAAAGTCTACAAACTTCGGGTCGATGTTATGCAGCAGCTCCACTCTGGGGGACGGGCGTCCTTCACTAGAAAAGAATTTTTTTAGGAAATGTTAATTTCCTCTCTCAAATGGGCATGGGTTATTTTAATACTTCCTTTCCTTGTACTTGCAGAAAATAACAAACCTGCCAGTTAAAAATTTTGTCATGAATTTAAAGTCTCCAAAGACTGTGGCTGGTGTATGTCATCATTTGTCTACATTATAACAATCACTGAGCACTTCACACAAAAATTCAGTGTCAAGCATATGATGATATAAAAATAAATGAGTCCTGTGACCTTTTGCAATAAACACTGTGGCTGTATTTAAACATAACCATTCTTTACACCTGAGAAAAGAGAAGTCCAGTCATTCTGTGGTAACTTCATACAGGTCACTTACAAGGAAGAGAAGAAAGAACACCTGCTCAAATGATGGCACCCACCATATTACAGATGCAGTATGTCTCATAGATTGGCGTATGCCACAAATCTTAATTTCTCCCATACCAAAGTGGGTCATAGATTTAACACAAACATATATGAAATAGACCTCCTTAAGACTTTTAAAAAAGAGTCTATATACAACTTCAGTCACAATCTATATTAGTACTGAGAAAGACATGGAGACAACTTAGTCCAATCCTGTCCTTTTACTAATGAGGAAGGTACATAGTATGTCACTGAAAGAATATTGGGTCTCAAAGCAGTATTTTTTTAAGAACTGGGAGAATAAACACCACCAGATACAGTGAGAAATGCACGAAGTAGCAAGGTCATTTTTTAAAATTGCTTTTATTTTTTAAATACATGACAGGGGAATGCATCACAATTCTTATTATACATATAGAACACAATTTTTCATATCTCTGAGCAAGGTCATTTTGTTAGAATGGACTTAGCCTTATAGAAACTGTTGAGCACAATTTTAATTATCAAGAGAGTACTGAGGACTACTTGATAATCTGATACTCTAAACCAAGAACTAAAGGTTGCAAAATACAATTGACCATGGAACTTGTGCATAATGTGAATAACCAACAAGTCTTTTGAAAGAATCGAGAAAATGTGTTTTCAGGTGGCCTAAAGTCCATACGTCCATACCCCAAATTCACAGCTAGGCGTTTTCAGTAGTCATTTGGGATTTCAAAGACTAGTCAAATTTCAAAAACCTTAGGTTGCTATTTGTAATTTTGTGTTTGACACAAATGTTAAAACCAAATTTAACTAATTAATTATAGCCAAACTAAAAAACTTCAACTCCCATCATTGGTGTTCTCTAATATAAAGGTAATTTCAACAGTAAAAAAAAAATAGGAAGGACACAATCTCAGAATAAATGACAGTCCTTTAAATTCAGCATATTTAACTTTAAGGTCCTATAATATTTGTTGCTCCTCTCTACTCCATAAAACACAGTAACTTGAGAGAGTGGAAGGGACAATACTTAGGGATGCCTCTAGTCCTCAGGGACTATACTCACGGACTGGTGCCCACAGTTCTTATTTTACTACTCAGGGATAGCACTGAAGGATTGGGTGGGGCTTGAGGGTAAGCACATCTCCCAGGACTCCCTCTTCTCATTTGCTTTCTGAGTCACTTCACTAGTTCCATATATATCCTGGAGACTGTCAACCCATCCCAAATGCCAGGAACTAGGGTTTGATCCCAGAATGGGAGTCGGGATAATATGCAAAGAAAATGGTAAGTGCAAAAAACAAACAAAAAAAAAATGTAAACAGAATGAAGAAGATGATGATGATGTCTAATTTGTAATCTTAAAAACAAGTGAAGAGATTAAAATTCTGGATTATAATATCAAGGAAGGGAAATTAGAATGAAAACTTTATTACGTTCTGTAAGATTTGGAAAGGGGGCAAAGCTATTGATTAGATTTAACCAAGTATAATTTGTGGGCCACATTTTTAGGATAACAATTAAAAACAATTTTTTTCTGGGCTAGAGAAAATCTAAACAAAATTCATTCGATTCAAAGGAAAGAAAGAATGAAGTAGGGGGGATAGGCATCTAAAATATTCAGTTTCTATACTGCTAAGAAACCATTCATCTTTAAAGCAGAATTCCCTGGAATGCTCCAGAACAGTAGACACAGTTAAATAAAGGATGTGTTTCCAATAACTCTAGAGAGAGTTTATATGGATATAATTCGTTCATTTCTTTTTTCCATTATTTAGAAGAGGGAAAGAAATTAAATAACTTTTTTAACCCCAAAGGTTATGAATAATCCTAGTTGACTAATGAGTCACTGGAAAAAAAATTTCTTAGGCAGAATCATCAGGAAGTAAATAGGGGCCCAGACTCCGCCTATCAGAAGCTGCAATTCTATTTTTTAAAATGTAATAATCAGGCTGAGCCTGGTGACACATGATGGTAGTCCCAGCTACTCAGAAGATGGAGGCAGGAGGATTGCAAGTTAGAGGCCAGTCTGGGTGACTTAGTGAGACCCCTGTCTCAAAATAAAAAGGGCTGGGCATATAATTTAGTGGTTGAGAGCTTGCCTAGCATGCACCAGGTCCTGGGTCCAAACCCTAGCACTGCCACACACAAAAAAGAATTCTGTTGATAATTTCCTACGACCAGTGCCTTAATATACTCTGAATAGGTAAGTGGTCTAACTATCTTGAATACAAATTTTTGGCATATGATGTAATTTCTGTTTCAAGGGTGTATATATCAGTGGGTTGAAGAAAAAAGCATGTGTTATATATGCATAGCATGGTTTCAGTAATATCAACTGTGTGATCACTACTGTCCTATGAAATAAATAGTGATCTTATCAAACATGTAAAATGGTTAGAGGATTCATGATTACTATAATATTCTGCCTTCTGTCTGTGTGTCTCTCCATATAATCATATATGTATGTATTCATTTTTAGGTAATGCTACAAATACTATAATATCCTATGATTCTAATATACACTATACATTATACTGTCCCAAAGTTTTATTTCCATACAATCAAAGTACCAAAAATAGACTTTTTTTAACCAATTATGAAGGTATCACTTTCTCATATGTAGGACAGCATTGTCTTTGAGAGCAAAGCTGTTAAACGACAAATTACTGGGTAAATAAAATAAACATGGGCCATGTTTTTCTTTTTCTTTCCTTTTTTTTTTTTTTTTGGTACTAGGGATCCAGGGGCAATTTACCACAGAGCCACATTCCCAGCCCTTTTTATTTATTTATTTTTTATTTTGAGACAGGGTCTCACTAAGTTGCTTAGGGCTTCATTAAGTTGCTGAGGCTGGCCTCAAACATAACGATCCTCTTGTCTCAATCTCCTGAGCAGCTGGAATTATAGGCGTGCACCACTACACGGGGCTGAGCCTTATTTTTCTTATTAGCAAAATGTGGATAAAAATACTTATGTGACGGGATTGTTATGAAAGTTAAATGAGGCAAGAAAGCCCCTTTTATTGCAAAATATAGATCCTGACTCTGCAGACACCAAAAGAATACAACCACAGACACAAGAGTAAAGCCTGAGACACAAATACAAGAATAATATGAAGATAAAATGGAACATTAATTCTCCTCTCCATTCTTCTTGCTGGCAAGAGTCCCTTTATGAAACACAGTGGGGTAGCTATAACTTTAATTTCCAAGACATGCTGCGTCTTCTCTACCATGTGGGAGCCTCTTATTAGAAAAACACCAGTGTCCACATAACTGAGTCATGCAACCTACTCATTATGAACTGCATATTAAAAGAAAGATATAGTGCAATCTGTTATGAATCTTCCTAATTTTTTTTTGTTTTAGGCAGATGGTATGGTTTAGCTGTATAAGCAACACTATCTTCAACAGGCTATTGATTCCATTTGTGAAACTTAAATCTGAATAATGACTGCTGATGTGTATGGGAAGTGATTTTTCAATAATCACATAACTTCACGAAAAGCCCTGTTGTGGGTGAACTGAGGCAATACGGATGGTTTCACTACAGAAAGTGTTTGGGCTCCAGACTGACAGCAACAGAGCAGAGCTTCTTTCAGGCAGGAATGGCTGGAACAGTTCAAGGGTCGTCACTGTGCTTGCTCCCTCCCACCCCCAGCGTATACCCCATGGCAATGAAGTAGACAAAGAGCTGTGTAAAGAAAAGAATCATTTTGTTCACATTGACCATTTAATGAGTCAATGTGAACAGAGTCCCATCTCTAAGTCAGTGAAATGGGCACGGATGAAACGTGCTAAACCGGAGCTCTTTTTATCCTTAGTTTTGAATATTAGTAGCTAGCATTGATAGAGCATATATTATGCCATATTCTAAATACTTCACATGCATTATCTAATTTAATTATCAACACAATCTTGGCACAGAGTGGCCAAACGAGTTACAAGGTTGAGCAGGTGATAAAATTCAGGTAGACCAATGCCTGAATCCCCACTCCTAACAGGGAGGCAAAATTGTCTGTTTTGTGAAATGTACACATGACCTCTGTGTCTACTTGAATGCCAGTGTTTCTTAATTCACTTAGCTTATTTTTAAGGCTCCATAAGTAAATATTTCTATTATAATAGCAAATGTCTCTATTTCCAAAAGTGTTGATCATTTTTATCTACCCTCTTCTTGTAAAGACTCGTTAAGTGGCATACGATTGTCAGTGGTGGCATTTCAGTATTCAGTTCGTTTACTCCAAATTTCACATTTTCTAGATCAGTTTTATTAAACAACAACAACAAAAGAACAAGGAGTTACTGATCAGTGACTTCTTTCCAATGTGCTATAAATATTTTCTAAAAGTCTACAGTGTCAGACACTGAGATCACAGCACTGTCCATAGAGTTTCCAGTTTTTGACCTTCGTTTTCCTATTTGTTGAAGGGTGGGGCAATAAAACACTTCCCATAAATAAATGAAATGCTATTCCCTACTTCTCTTACCCCTAGCTGCTGACCATCTGTCATAAAGGACACACCCTAGAAGACAGTATCAAATTTTTAGAAAAAGAAATAGCCATAGAAATAATTTCTGAAAATTAAAAAAAAAGAAACTGATTAAAACATGAAAGTGTCATCCAC